AAGGCTTAACGTCCTTTCAGACTAACGTCTGCCCGGCGCCACAACTTTCTCACCATTCTCTCTTCCTCCAGGACTCGTCAATTTGATTGTCTGTCTGGCCCTTTGTACATTATCTGCTGGCACTCAGGCCGAGCCCTTCTCCAATGCCTGAGATACCGAGGGCAAGATGAAAGGATAACAAATTAGATTATTTGACCACTTTGTCAGAGGAAACTTATAAGAAACAAGGATAAAGCAATAAGTTTGGAGCACTTTATCTTGCTTGATAAAATTTTACTTGATGATGATGATGATGCATGGTTAGACGCAGCAGACAGAGTAGCTGACGGGGGTAGCAGCATGCTCCACCACCTCTGATAGATAGTTGGTAACCTGCATTTGAAATTTGTTTAAGTATGCTTTCTTCTGACCAGAAAATGATTCAAAAAATCCGCAAAGAAATTCAAATCAGCAACCACAACTTGCAAAACACAGAAATGAAAAAACAAAACAACTATTACTCACTGTATACAATCACTACCGTGTGCACAACGTCCACTAAATTTGACCCGGAAACAGGTGATATAACATGTAAAGGGAAGGGTGTAAGCTGAATCAAAATAATAATAACTTCTTTTCACATTTAAAAAAAATGGTGAGCTCAAGTTAAGGGACCCCTTTATCAAAAGTTATAATTCTATCAAAAAGCGAGGCAGAGGAAGACTGCAGTTCTTTTATTTTCATTTATTTATATACTTTGGCAGCTTAATGCCAGACGCACAACGTTGCTGGGAAATGTTCCACAATTTCATGTCCTTCACAGGCTGCTGCCGAACTGCATTAGTGAAAGTGAATTACAGCCTTCTGTGTGACCCGATAGAGAAAGAAGGAGAAGGGAAAGGGAGACGGGAGGGGAGAAGACAGAAAGCGACTGATTTCTGCTCATTCACAACGATAAAATGGATAAAATGGTAGAGCAGGTGGCTTCAGCTTCCTTTGTGGGCCTCCTGGCAGGAATTTATTAGACTGGTTTGTTGGCAATGGTGCAGTGTAAATTTTAGTGTTTGCAAACAATCATCTGCTTCATATGTTGCAGTTCCACTGTTGTTTCAGCGTGAAGTCCTAGAATTGCATTGCTCATGCGATATATTATACACAGAAGACCGTTTTTGCATATTTTATGAACTTGAAAATAAACTTTCATCATTATTTTTTCATGTTAAATAGCTGAACTTAAAGGCCTTGAGAATCTGACAGAATAACTGGCCGTAAACGAAGAGCGGCTCATTTTATCTGATGCTCTCTGCGGTCTTTTGAAAAGTGTGCAACCTCAAAATGTCAGTCTTTTTATTAACTGATATAAAATACCTTCATTTTCAAAAGGACCGAATGAAAAGGATCATTTACTGTAAGGGGAGGTTATCTGTGAGGAATACCGCAAAACCACAATGCTGCTACACTTTGTTGCTTATTTTGTTCTTAAAATTTGACAAAGCTGCAGAAGGTGGTGATCTCAAGTTAGATTAGATTGAATCAGCTCTTTATGTTTTGAGTTTTGAAGCTGAATAGATTCATTGCAATGTTAAATGTATCTCTGCACTAAAACTGTATTATACATATATCAGAAATATTCATGATCCTAAAACGATATATTCACAGACTCACATTAAAGGTGAGTCCAGAACCTGAAATATACAAGGGATAAGCTTTCAGTTAATTCAACTATTTCTTTATATGCAACAAGAAGGAATCAATAGCTCCATGTTAATCCACGTCTTGATCTCACCATGAGTGTGTGACGATAGCTTTGACGCACCTACTCTGCAGTCAGAGCAGATGTATGTGGATCTATCCGGGAGGAGGAAGTTCCTCAAGTTGGCGGTCCAGTTCAGTTGTTTCAGTGACTCGATGCTTATTGAATTGCGTGCCCATTCCCACAGCTCCAGCAGGTCAAATGACTGGGATGTGTAGCTCACGGCCGCTAAGTGGTCTATCGATCAGTCAGCTGAGCCTGTGGGCTGATGGGATGTGCTGCAGCAGACTCGGCCAGGATTTGGCAAGCTGGTAATGGCTGTAAAATACAAAGCATTCCTACACAGATGAGAAGCACCAGAGTATATAGTTCCATGGCTGTGTTCAAAAAGTGGTGGAAAATTTGAAGTAAAGCCTTTTGATTTCGACTGTATGTGTGTGAACAAACTTTCATTAATTTTGTCCCAAAGTCAGAGATTTTCGTGAACCCTCGCTCTCCTGCCTCTTCAGATAAGTATTGACCATATCAGCAATATTAAGTTGTTTTGCTGCTTCGCAGACTAAAGTGATGTTGTGTGAAGACTGCTAATTTCAATTAATTGTCCCAAAAGCTCTGACAAAACACATCAGTCTCAACTGCTGCAAGTAACAGAAGACAATGAAGCCAACAGAGATGGGTGGTAACGCGTTACTTGTAACGCGTTACTGTAATCCGATTACTTTTTTCAAGTAACGAGTAAAGTAAGGGATTACTATTGCAAAAACGGTAATTAGATTACCGTTATTTTCCCGTAGGAACGCTGCGTTACTGCATTACTAAAACCGTGATTTTTTTTGCGAGAATGTCTCATGACAGTGACGTCAGCGAGTGTTGATTCCATAAAAAGTGACAAAAACATTAGTGTCCGTTGTGCGTGAGAAGAAAACTTCTTTTTACAGCGAAAAAAACCCCTAAACTTCCAAGCAAGGATCGAGTGCGCTACGACGTAATGGGAAACTCACAGAGAAACTCGCGGATTCTTCCAATGACCGCTGCGGCACACCTGCACCAGGGTAAACCTCCGCCTACCCTGCTCCTGCTTTACAGGTGAAAATAGAGCAACAGAACTGCTAGTCTTTGACTTTATTTATTTTCTGCTGTGTTTTACTTGCATCTATTTGAAAGACTGAGTGTAAACACACAAAAAAATTATTTTATGTGCTGGAATGTGCAGAAAATAGGTTTAAATATTAAACAAATTTCTTCCAGTCAGAGAATGTTGCATATAATTAAATTTTTGCTTGATGCATAAAGTTAAAAGATTAAAACTAATAAAACAAGTTTTAAAAAGAGACTTTTCTATTTGATTACATTTTGTATGATGGATTATGCAGAAAAAGTAGAATTGGGCTGAAAGATCTATCGCTTTATCACCTATTCAGGTTGTAAATCGTGTTTTTAAAAAGTAACTAAGTAATTAATTACTTTTGAAAATAAGTAATCAGTAAAGTAACGGGATTACTTTTTTGGGGATGTAATCAGTAATTAGTTACTGATTACTTTTTTCAAGTAACATGACCAACACTGGAAGCCAAAAGACAAAATCCATGACTTGAGCAATCATTGCAATTGACACATGTTACTCAGCCTACAAGCACCTAAATTCTTATTAATGCAACAAAGTAATCAAACGTATTAAAAGATTATTTTGCATGACTTAAAAGTAAATCATCTTTATTACCATAACTGACAATGAAGGCAACCGAATGGAGACACTGCTCCATAATAAAATGGTTGTAAACATTTGTAAGCACTGATAACATACAAACACAGTTTTAAAAGGTGTAAAATGTAGATAAACACTGAATTAAATGATTGTAAATTTCATAAATCCACATTTTATTCTTAATAGCACATGGCCCAACCTTCTGTGAATTAGGGTTAACATACACATATATATTATTGGGCCAGACCGTATATTTAAATTTTATTTCACTCTCAGATTAGTTAAGTTCCAGCCATGTACGTGGCATTGCTATTAAGCAATGGATCAGGATTCTACACACATGTTTAATCTTTACATGCAAATCATCAAGGATGTGCATCTGATTTGTTCCTCCTGTATACTCGCCACAGTCTGTTCAAGTGACCCAGTGCCCGAGATTAAGGTTTGGCAAAGCCAGATTTAGCACCAACAAACCAAATCCCAGTTTTTAAGAGCTTGGCTGACTGCCGACTAACTGCAACACCACAGCAGCAACCCCCTCGTCAATCTACGGGACATAGTGTAGCGTAATATACAGAGCGGCGAGCTTCTAGGTAAAGTGCATCTGCATCTACCTCCAAGAATAGTCCCATCAACACTGAGATTCATATAGCAGTTAAATTGTATCCCACAGCCTTCTGCAGCTGTAATATTATTGCGTATTCAGCTTAAATTAAATTATTAAATGGTAATCTTTGCAAAAGCAATACTTTTAATTAAATGTTTAATTATGCATATCATTTCTAAACAAACAAACAGAGGCTAGATCACTGTTGATACTGACTTTGGTCGATATGTGATATAAAAACAAAATCAAGAATACAAAAATAAAACACCTTAGGTCACTATATTTATTTTATTTCCTCATTATAAGGCCACGCTGATGTATCTGTTGTAAATTACTCATTCTCCTGCCTCAGTGGCAACAACAACTATGACTGGAGGCAACGTGTTTTTTAGGTCGGCTGTTTGTCTGTGCCTTCCTGTTGAACATGATTTCTTAGGAATGCCTTGAGGGAAGTTCTTGGTTGAGATTATTAAAGTGCGGAGCTATTCTTTCTCAACACCAGAGGTTGCACATTTGACAAATGCGTGAAAATAAAGCAGAGATTACCACAAACCTTTTTTCTTTTTACAATAAAGAAAAGAAAGCATTACATGTGACATGTGGAAAAAGTTACTAATGGATGCAGCTAGGTCCCAAAGACTGAAGTCCTCTTGAACAAAAACAGCTACTTATTGTTAATCAACTACAACCTACAGTCATTTAATATAACCCACATTTTTTAAATTCCACTGTGCACAAAACACCTGGTTTAAAATAATATTTAACAGTTACTGGACTGGACAATGTGAGCTTTTAGTGGGAGTTTAGTGCAAGCTGCATGCAGCCATAATATTCTTGTAGCTCTATATTCCAAGTTGGTAATTCTTTGTTTTGGTTACATATATTTATAATTTTACAAAAAATCTACAGTTACACTGACTCACATATGTGAATGATGAAAACCAAGTGCAAGCCTCTTTAAATTAATTTATTTCTGCTGGATGTGTGCACACAGTCTTTTTCTTTACAAAAACACACACTTATAAAACAGTCCAGTCTCTCAGAAGCACAAAGATAAATATATAATTTATACAGAATCCTCAAAAAAATGTTTACAAATGATTTTTGGCACATCGAAAAAAAAAGCAGACAGGCTTCTTTTTTTTTTTTTGCCAGCTTAGCACAATGTTTCCTATTCATCAAACAGACTATTAAACAGGCACATTTTGCAAGTGTAGCTTCAACAGATACAGACTGCTACAACATAAATCCCTTTAAATACTCCCAAACAGGGATCCAGCCCCTTTAGTCATTCACAATTTGCTTAATACAAAAAAAAAAAAAAAAATCACATCCTTTTAGGAAAAATAGCAGGTACCCCATAAGAACCCACATTCAATTTACCTCTGATTTATATAAAAACTAATAGTAAACTTATTATATACTTTAGTGCAATTAGCAAAATAAGATGCTTCATTTTTAAAATTCTATTTGAATTCATCAAAGCATAAAAAAAGGATTAAAAGTCAGCTGTTGTTAAAAAAAACTGTTATTATACTATATATGAATGTAATGAGCAACAGCGACACCCACTGGTTGTAACCATTAAGAGCAGACATGATGCACACAAATGAATCTCTTTGGTAATTTTCAAGATTTTTTTTTTTAAATGTCATTTGTGATTCATCATTAATGCAAATAAGCTCAGAGGGTAAAGTATCTTCATAAATAACTCTTCTCAGGATATGTATCTGTAGTCCCAGAGTTTCGAACCAGTTGCTTCTTTTTGATCCCGTCTTCCTCGCTCATTTGAAGGTTTTAGTGTTTTAGTTTCAGTTTTTCTTCTCGTCTCCAGGTAAGAAGTAAGGATTTTCATGGCCTTGAACCAGATACGAGTAACGAGATGTATTTTTACCTTTGAAGGTCATCATTCCTTCTGGGTTGAGATCGTACGATCCCGTCTGAAAAGTCAGTAGAGGGCGTGAGTGTGACACTTTCATAAAGAAGCAGGGACTTTATAGGTTCACACACTTTTACCCACAAAACTCAAGACCCACACACAAAGCTAACCCCAGTCACCAGTGTAGACTGAACAATTATTCATCACTACTCCCAAAAATATTGTCAGATGAATTTCTTTGAATATGCTGGATTTAGTGTGAAGATGAAAGCGTACTGCTGAGAAATCCCCGTTAATGCTCCCCATCACCCAGAAAACCCATCACCTTCTCACTCTGGCATCTCTAAGTTATCAGCAGGGGTGTATCAAGGCAAATCAAGAATCTAAAAGCAAAGCCATGCCTTACCTTTTTCCATCCTTTCTGCTTCCGCTGAAACCCCTGAAGCAACATACTGGGAGTCAGGCAAAGCAGGGAGCGTGGCAGGGGGCTACATGCTAGCACTTTATTTACGATCACAGGAGTTAAAATGCATCATCAAATCATCTGATTTATCTGGGTAGTGATGCAAGAAGGTTATGTGCCCAGTTATTAATTTGCAGGTCAAAAACAAAGGTCTAGTCTAGCTAAATCTGCCAGAAAGCAAGCTCTACCCACACATAGTTGCAGCTGTGGGTTGAGAGCTAGCGATCGTTGCCTACTAATCAATAGATTGGTGGGTCAGTTCCTGGTTTTTCCCAGTCTGTGTGTTAAAGTATCTTTGGACAAGTTACTGAAGTTGTCCCCAGTACATCCATGTGAGTGTGTAAATATTTTAAGTTCTTAAGCATAGAAAAAAGCACTTGTTTAAATGTATTTATGTGCATGAGGCTTATAGTAAAAACTTGCTGTTTCATGTTCCATCTCCATGCAATTTGTTTTGTTTTCAACCTGCAAATCCTTGTTTACTGAGTGGGTTAATAAGCAGATGCAATCTAGATGTGAGATAATGAAGCAACTGAATGAACAAACATTTGATTTAGTTAGTAAGCAACAATATGCAGGACTGTTCGACTGAGGATTAGCAGTAAATAACTGAGACAGCAGAAAAACAGCTGCGGTAACTCACCATTCCATTGCTTTGAGGCCTTTTGTCCACCAGGGTATTACTGCTGCCCCCTTCTGTCATCTCTATAGGAGGAGCCCCATCCCATTTACTGTTGGCACGGGGGATGGGCATGATGCCAGTAGGCCAGGGCTGGTTTAAGTCTTCTGTTGAGTAAGGGCTGCTGCTAATGTCTTGCTTTCTATTAGAGCACATCCTCCTGACATACAGAAAATAGAACAACAGTCACATTTTATGTTCTATTTTATATCTTGCTTTATTTTATAACCCTGGAGAACAAATGGGGTCAAATTTGACCCCATTGGTTTCCCTAGAAAACCAATGGGGTCGGCTCTGACCCCATGGGTTCTCCAGGGTTAAATTCAAGCAGTGAACTCCCACAGACACAGCAACAATCGTTTATTATTAACTGCAGCTGAGCAATTTTGCTACTCGTGTTTGCTAATGCTATAGTTGCCGCATATACACAAAGTCCTGAGGTTTTTTTAAAATCTTAAAATTTGGTTCAGTTTTTAAAAATTATTCCGTCTGCTGGTCCAACAGTTTTGGATTCAGTTCTGCAGACACACTAAATCTTTAGTTAAGTATAGGTTTTCATAGAGAAAAATTAACATGATTGAGGCCTTTGTTTTTCACAGGAGTGCAGAATATAATCACAACTTTGGCCTGGAGTCCTAAAGATTTTTAATAGCCATTTTATTTATTCTGGGCATATGACAACTTGCCCATTTCCAGCCAATCTAGTCCAAGCTACAAACAACCATTTGCACAGATAAGTGGAGCTGTAAGATGCAGAGCAATCAGTACATATGAATGTTTGGGGGA